ACCTGTTCCCAAGGACATCAACGTCCCATCAAAGGCCTTCACGTCCTCAAATGCAATGGCTGACTAAGAGGACGTATTACAAACACTCATTCTACAAAGCAGAAAAAAGAGCTTGGGGAACAACAATTTTGGACAGCGCACAAGGTCCAATGATAAAGGCTCAAATAGTAAAACAAAGGAATGAAGTGACATAACAAGTAGACTTTCTTTTCCTTTTCTAGACAGGCGATCCCGTGTGAGAAATCTTGTTTGTCATCTAAATCAATCTGAAGGATGACCGCGATCCATATCTTACTTCACGCTTTTAGTTACCAACCGCTTCTCGTATTTAAGAAGGAAACACGTCATTTCTCAAGTATTCTTCATTATCTTATTCACGCAACATTTTTCACTCTCTTACCAACTTAGCGTTGAAAAGTTAATCTTCCATGTCAACCCCCACCGTATCAAAAGTTCAAAAACATTTCAATAAGTTTTACCTCCTCTTTTACTATTATTTTGATTATTTCTCATTCTACCACATAACAAATATTATTTTTACATTGTTTTGAGCTTAACCATAAAGTTTATGTGTTTAATTAATTATACACCTAAAACTTTTATAACTAAAACTATTAAAAATTTCTTGAACTTAGTCATTAAATTTATGAGTGTTTATTTAGACATATATCTAAAAAATGTTTGACTAAAACTATTAAAAATATTGGTGTAATGAAAAACAAATGAAGGTGAGATAGAATAGAAATATCAGTTGAACTATTTAAGCTAGTACTTCCTGATTCTTTTTTATACAAGCTAATCAATATTGTTATTTTTTATATAATAATTTTCTTTTTACTGTAATATCCCTAATTATTTAATAAATTTATTTTACATTTTTTTCTCTATAATAATTATTTATAGACAATTTTAATAAAAGTGCATTTAATACTATTTTAAATTTTGCAAATGACAATTAAGAAGAAACAAAAAAATTATCTAAAAAATAACGATTAAAAATGAATAGAGGAATTGTTTAAATTATTGACAAATCTATCATTTATATTGAAATTGACAATATCGATGCTTATATGTTGTTGTTAATTAATAGATCATTTACTTGAGTTTTGTATGTTGCTATTCATTTTTTTTATCTACTTCTAAAAGAATATCCAAATTTTAAGATAAATTAGGAGAGAAACAAATCTTGTCGCCCAAAACCTATAAAAGCGCGGTCAAATGTTCTACTTATCAAGACTTGTTTCCTAAGCCAATAAGAACTAGCGTCGAACTATTTAAGCTAGTACTTCCTGAGTTCTTTTTTATACAAGCTAATCAATATTGTTACTTTTTATATAATAATTTTCTTTTTACCTGTAATACCCCTAATTATTTAATATATTTATTTTACTTTTTTTCCCTCTATAATAATTATTTATAGACAATTTTCATAAAAGTGCATTTAATACTATTTTAACTTTTGTAAATGACAATTAAGAAGAAATAAAAAAAATATCTAAAAAATAACGATTAAAAAGGAATAGAAGAATTGTTTAAATTATTGATAGATCTATCATTTATATTGAAATTGACAATATCTTTGATGCTTGTATGTTGTCGTTCATTAATAGATCATTTATTTGAGTTGTGTACGTTGTTGTTGTTCATTTTTTTTTATCTACTTCTAGATGAATATCCAAATTTTAAGATAAATTAGGAGACAAACAAATCTTGTCGCCCAAAACCTATAAAAGCACGGTCAAATATTCCACTTATCAAGACTTGTTTCCTAAGCCAATAAGAAATAGCATTGAACTATTTAAGCTAGTACTTCCTGAGTTCTTTTTTATACAAGCTAATCAATATTGTTACTTTTTATATAATAATTTTCTTTTTACCTGTAATACCTCTAATTATTTAATACATTTATTTTACTTTTTTTCTCTCTATAATAATTATTTATAGACAATTTTGATAAAAGTGCATTTAATACTATTTTAAATTTTACAAATGACAATTAAGAAGAAACAAAAAGATTATCTAAAAAATTACGATTAAAAAGGAATAGAGAAATTGTTTAAATTATTGATAGATCTATCATTTATATTGAAATTGACAATATCTTAGATGTTTGTATGTTTCAGTTCATTAATAGATCATTTACTTGAGTTTTGTACGTTTCTGTTTATTTTTTTTATCTACTTCTAGAAGAATATCTAAATTTTAAGATAAATTAGGAGACAAACAAATCTTGTCGCCCAAAACCTATAAAAAGCACCGTCAAATGTTCCACTTATCAAGACTTGTTTCCTAAACCAATAAGAACTAATGTTGAACTATTTAAGCTAGTACTTCCTGAGTTCTTTTTTATACAAATTAATCAATATTGTTACTTTCTATATAATAATTTTCTTTTTACCTATAATACCCCTAATTATTTAATATATTTATTTTACTTTTTCTTTTCTCTATAATAATTATTTATAGACAATTTTGATAAAAGTGTATTTAATATTATTTTAAATTTTGTAAATAACAAAAAAATTATCTAAAAAATAACGATAAAAGAGGAATAGAGGAATTGTTTAAATTATTGATAGATCTATCATTTATATTAAAATTGACAATAACTTCAATGCTTGTATGTTACTGTTCATTAATAGATCATTTACTTTGAGTTTTGTACGTTGCTGTTCATTTTTTTTATCTACTTCTAGAAGAATATCCAAATTTTAAGATAAATTAGGAGACAAACAAATATTGTCGCCCAAAACCTATAAAAATGCGGTCAAATATTCCACTTATCAAGACTTGTTTCCTAAGCCAATAAAAACTTGCGTTGAACTATTTAAGCTAGTACTTCCTGAGTTCTTTTTTATACAAACTAATCAATATTGTTATTTTTTATATAATAATTTTTTTCCTGTATACCCTTAATTATTTAATATATTTATTTTACTTTTTTTTTCTCTATAATAATTATTTATAGACAATTTTGATAAAAATGCATTTAATACTATTTTAAATTTTGCAAATGACAATTAAGAAGAAACAAAAAAATTATCTAAAATATAACGATTAAAAAGGAGTAGAGGAATTGTTTAAATTATTGATAGATCTATCATTTATATTAAAATTGACAATATCTTCGATGTTTGTATATTGATATTCATTAATAGATCATTTACTTGAGTTTTGTACGTTGCTGTTTGTTTTTTTATCTACTTCTAAAAGAATATCCAAATTTTAAGAGAAATTAGAAGACAAACAAATCTTGTCGCCCAAAACCTATATAAGCGCAGTCAAATGTTCCCCTTATCAAGACTTGTTTCCTAAGCCAATAAAATATTGCATTAAACTATTTAAGCTAGTACTTTCTGAATTCTTTTTTATACAAATTAATCAATATTGTTACTTTTTATATAATAATTTTTTTTTTATATGTAATACCTCTAATTATTTAATATATTTATTTTACTTTTTTTCTCTATAATAATTATTTATAGAGAATTTTGATTAAAGTGCATTTAATACTATTTTAAATTTTGCAAATGATAATTAAGAAGAAATACAAAAATTATCTAAAATATAACTATTAATTATCAAAGACTTGTTTCCTAAGCCAATAAAACAAGCGCTGAATAGCATAGTCTCCTGTCTCCGAGACATAAATGCTTATTGACAATAATAAAAAGCCACATATCTGCTCAAAAGAATAAATGCAGAGCAACATATCTGCTTAAAAAAAAAAAAACAGAACATACAAAACTTTCTTCATAATCCAATAGTGGGGGCGAAAATGAGTACCATATCTTGTTTTTTTAGGAAATATTAAAAATGTCAAATTTTAACATCATATTCGAGTCTTTCCAAATATTACGAAGCTAGTTTCATTGTTCCAAATTTCAACAAGACAAACAAAAGAAAATCAGCATACTGCAAGGTCAAAAGGGTGGTCCTGCCTGCATGAAGAAGTACCTGCATTGAAAGCACCCAAAGTTAAGAAGAAAATAATAATACTAACTGAACATAGATATTAGACACATATGGAGTGTGCCTTTAAACGAAACAACAAATCATGCCAACCACTAAAAGCTGTTCAATAAATATAAAGGCACTTACTTCAGATGCAAGAGTCACATATTCCAGTATTTTTATCCATTGAATTTCATGACATGAGAAGCTGCGTCTTTTTTCCTCCCTAATGAAGTTCTGAACAATCAAAATAAACATCCATTTATTTTATGCATTAGGCTAGTTTCAAAAAGAGCATTCGTATTCACACAATAAAAATATTTACGCGGCCCGCTTAATCAGTTCCTCTTCAAATATATGATCTATTGACAAGATATTTCTTAAGTTCTACAGGGATTGAAAATTTCTTTTCAAATCAAAGACAGAAAACAGGGAGGTGGTAATTCTGTCATTTAGATCACTCACATGCCGGTCATGACTCAGTAGCATTATCCAAGTTAGATATGTGATGCCAGATCACCTTGAGAGTATTATTTTCCTGTGGTAAGGTCAAAGAAGCTTCTGTTATCTGAATGAGCCGTGCACTGCGGCAGAAGGGATGGATATTCATCCCTCTCCACTTTTTCATTTACTTCATCATTAATTATGTTCTTCCCTATTGTTCTACTTTCAGTTTTATAATTTCCTGGAAGTGTTTTTTGCCGAGATTTCAGTTTACAACAGAAACAAGCATATCATATCATAACTATATCAAACTTTTATCTCGGAAGAACTAGACCTATGTTATAAATTAATGAACTTGTGAAAATATAAGTAGAAACAAATCTATACAGCACTTCATTAGAACAAATCCTAAAACATGTCACACATTCCAACAGGATGGCAAAAAATACCACAGAGCTAACACAATCCATTTTTTCAGCACGATATTTGTCAATAAAGCATTAATAATTGGTTGTATAATTTGATTTAGTGAGAAACATGATTCACCAAGATATAAGCATACCTGTACAGCTACTTATGTGCGTGACATAATCACAACTACTTCACAAATAGCATGCCTCGACAGTTGAGGCAATTTGGCACTGGCCATCCAGTCTGTCAAGCAATTTTGAGTAAATCAAAGAATCCTCAAGAGGATTGTTCATGCCTTCAGTTTCATTGCAGCCCTTACTGCTGTCATCTCCTGGACTACCAGTACCATGCGAACCACTTTCAACAGGCCGTTCTGTCTGAATGACTACACCAAATAGCTGAAACGATACCGGCCCAGGTTTCATTGAGTTGCAGTTGTAGTTCCGGACAAAATCTGTGCCAAAGGAAGGCAAACTACTCTGGCTCTCTGGTGAAAAATCATCAGATTGAGAACTGCCAACATTTAGCTCAGTTGACAAAGATTTCAACCCCAGCACTGTGTTGTTGCCAAAGGAGTTACTCATACACAGACGGGGGTTTTCACCTGGAAAGTTGGAAAAACTTGAAACAGAAAATAGATCATGCCTGGCTCCCTGCATGCCAGCAGGAAAAGTACCGTAACTCAACAATGATTGATTCAGTTGCCCCATTGTTGAATTAGTGAATGCTGTGATAGAAAAAGGGTCTCCATCAGTTAACACCCCATGGGGCCCTCTAAGCCTTTTTATTGAGGGAAATGGTGTATGAAGTGAAGGTGTTGTAGAAAGAAGTTCAATCTGCCAAGGGCTGACCCACTTGGAAGTTTGCAACACTTCAGGTTCATCCCATGTAATCTATCAGAAATAATAAACGGAAAAATTCAGTTATCTTAGATAATGATAATCTTTTAAAGTACAACTCTATCAAAAGATTCTTTCAATGTTTTTTTGCCAACACAACAATAATAAGAAGATTTAGACATAAGAAATTAAAGGCGGTAAGTGCTGAAGTGAGAGAAACAACCAAGTTTGATGCAGTAAAATTCATTGCACTAAAATTGAAGTAATTTGTTTGATAATATGATTAAAATGAAATATTGTAAAGGTATTAATAAAAGAAAAGTTGTAATCCGGACTAAAAAACAATCAAGGGAGGAAAGCATAATTGAGTCTAAGAGACAGAACTTCTAGCAAATTCTTAAGTCCCAAGAATGATATCCATTGTTTTCACAAAATTTACCAATCCTAAAATTACTTCCTCTACTTTCCAACCAAACCCAAGTTGAATTCAACAAAGCAGAGGATAGAACATTTAGACAAAAATGTAAAAACTTAAATGCCATAACAGAAGCAATTGGACAATAGATCAAATCATATGTGGTAGAAGCAATTGAAAAACATATCAAAACATATGTGCCAGAAGCAACTGGACAACAGATCAAATCATATGTGGCAGACATTATCTGTAAACAGAGAATAAAAACTATTATCATACTGTTATTTAGCTACTTCAACCTCTTTATGAAATATATTAGCTAGACTACTATATATAAACTACATTGAACGAATAAAATATTCACGTAATATCATAAAGAAAAAGAAGGATTGAAACATACATGAAGCATACGCCAAGGGGAACCTCCCCAAGGGCCATTATCAGGAACAGAAACCGAAGACACTACACCCTGAAACCATGTAGTCCGAGAAGAATCATCAGTCTCCACAGCCATTTTGACTCTCATTCCCGGACACCATGTTACACTCATTGCTGCATCCACAACCTCAGCTTTCAGCACAAAATCCGACCAACCAGCTTTCGGATAATACACAACTTCAAACGCCAACCCCTGCGCCGCCAATTCCGCTGCCTCCGCAACAGATTTCGGAGACAACTTCCCTTTCCCGTTCCTCGAGAACTCCTCTCTACACTTCTCTTCCACCTGTTTCTCCTCATCTTCATCCTCCACCCTGTTTCTCACCCCGCAGATCGGAAGACACAATCTTGTCGTGTCGTTAGCACTCCGAGCCGGCACGTAACGGACAGCGCGGCGGATACCGATGAACATGTTACCTCTGGTATTCTTCATGAAAACAACAGAATCACCAGCAACGAGCTTTTTACCGTTAACGAACCTACTCCAACCGGTGGTAAGCAGATGCCTTCTCGGCGTGCCACGGTAAATGTGACGAAACTCCCAAGCCATGCCGTGCACGTCAGTAATCACAAGAGACTGATACGGAGGGTCCATACTATAGTCAAGGGGCGGGAAAATCGAATCAGCGCAAAACCTCGGAACGGAGAATCCACCTCCGTTGTTAGCATCCGAAGGCGTGAGAATCTTCGCAAACGAGAAAATCCTCTCACCATCATCAACTTCGGGAGCAGGAACACGAGGGAAAATAGCAGCAAAATCATTGAGAGGCTGAAGAAACAGTTTCGCAAAAACCTCATCGGTTTTTGGATCGGCAAGAAATTGAACACCAGAAACAGAACAGAGAATGTAAGGCCGGGAGAGTAGTCGAGGAGAAAGGTTGTTAGGAGGAGAAGAAGCTTGGTCCATATGTCCTTGAGGAAAGTAGTAAACCCTAGAATTAACAGCGGGGATATGCACGGCGGCGCCGGCGATCGCTCGCCAGATTTTAGAATCCACCGAGCTAGCATTCTTCGGCAACGGTGGTAGCAGTTGACGGTTCATGATTTTCACTCACAAACACTCACCAAAAAAACTTCAGAATTAGTTATAACAGAAGGGTTTCGCTAGGGTTTTCGAACATAAGAAGTAACGGAATCAAAGGAGAGTTTGTTGTGTGTTTGAGAGAGAGTGACAGAATGAGTGTGCTTCTCTTTCTTTCTCTTTCTTTCTCTCTCTCTCTTTCTATTTAAAGTTTGTTGTGTCCGATTCGAATTAGACCTGAGAAAATAGCGACGTATTACGGTTTTACCCTTAATTATGTTGGTTCTTTTTGTAGCTTTTGCACAGTCCAAACAGAACCCATGCCTTTTTAAGAACTTTAATTAAATAATTAATTAACATTTATTGCTGTTGTCAAAAGATAAATACAAAATTTATTAATAATGCTATCCACTTTATCCATGGTACATTGATCAAAGATATCATCATTAAGGGTAAACATAGAGTTCTGTGCGTTTAACTTTTTTTGTCCATGAATAAAACTCGCTTACGGTTACATCATCATGACTCATTAGATATGCTTCACTACTGATTCACCTTCACCGTATAGTAATGATTTTAAATTTTAAACTTGGTGTACTTTGAAGTGATAATTGCTTGTTACGTAGTAAATGAAATAAGTGAAATGAGAAATAGTAGTGTACTAGAACAAAAGAAACAGTGATAAAGTAGGTGCAGGTGGATTTCGTGATCTAAGTTGTTGTATTTGTATTGTATTGCATTGCATGCACGGTTTAATTGGGATATGTTTGTCTGAAAATATTAGCGGCGTGATGGTTGCGAGTTGCGATAGTACTATTGCAATTCGTAACAGAATCGAATCAGTTGAGATATGATTTTAATTGCGTATGTGTCGCATTTTGTTAGAGAAATTGGAAGAAAAAATAATGGAGGGTGACGATTGCACAGGATAATTGTTAAAAGTGGACCATGGGAATAACTGTCTGTGGTACGTGTCCGGAAAAAGCGGCAGAGTGAAAACATGGAAACGGGTGGATGAGTTTGGTGGAGGGAGGTTTAAAACGGATTGAAGGCGCGTTTGTTTAAAAATATTCAACTTGTAATTCGTGGAATGTTATTAATTATTATGTGTTCAGGTGATAAAAAATTTAGGAATGTTAATGGATAAAAAAATTAAAAATGTTTTCAGATTTATTTAATTAAGGAGTATATGAGATTGATTATTATACAATTTTTAATATAGAAAATTTCTTATTGTTACTTCTTCAGAATAATTCATCATTATTATTTTTAATGTGGTTAAAATAAATTTTAATTTTAATTTAAGATCAGATAAATATGTAGGAAATATTGGTGTGATAATCTTGAATATTTTCGAGAAATCGTGTTCGTACACTTTCCGAACAAAGTATTTCGACCCTATTATTTGTCTGGGTTCACGAAATCTTTGTGGGGATAATTCTTTGAAGAACAATCCGTTTCTGGCAATAGAAAACAGATCAAGAATGTAGAGAGAATATGAATTTTGTTCAGTGTGTAAAACTGAGACCAAATGACTCATTATATAGGAGATTAATTAACAGAAAACAAAAAGGGACATCTGTTCAAAATTTTTGAATGGGTTCATCTTTTCAAATTTAATTTCGAACGGGTTTAAAACTTAACAGAAAACTTTCAAAAAATTTTTGCCCCTTTCAGAAAAACTTAACAGCGGGACCCCAGCCAGGGGCTCTGCCCCTTGGAACCCCACGGGGCGCCGCCCCGCATCCCGCCAGGGGCTTCGCCCCTTGGAACCCCAGCGGGGCGCGACCCCGCACCCCGCCAGGGGCTCCGCCCCTTGGAACCCCTTTTCAATTATTCGCATTCAATTGTACGTTGGCTCGACGAGCGTGCACTCCGCACTACCCTAACTCGTTTCCAAGCTTAATGTATAATTGCATCGGCCTACAGTAAATCACATTACTACTAAAATACATTGATGATACTAAAATCACCAACAAAATACGTCTAATTTTATAATGTAAATATACTAATTGAATTTTATCTTAATTATATTTAATATAGTAAGTGAAAATCATGGTCGTTTTTGAGGAGGCGTAAAACGAGTTATCACACTAACTTTAAAATTTTTACGATTAAACTGTACTTAAATAAAGTCTCTTAAATTTTTGTCATTGATAAAATTTGATTAAACATAATTCTAAATTATTGTCATAGTTAATTTTAAACGATGATTACCTTATATAGAGTTTTTAAAAACTTGTGACAACTCTGATAAAAGTAAATGAAATAAAATTATGTGATATTTAGAAATATGAGTGGTTATATTTTATTTTTATAAAATTTATAAACTAGTGTATCTGAAATCTAATCTAAAAATATTCACTTTATTTATATAATAAACGATCCGACCTTTTCAATATATTCATATCACAATGTTTAGTAGGTAAAAAAACAAAAATAAAAATGTCGATTAGAAAAACATTTTAACGGTCGTGACTCATTTATAAAGTTGAATTTCTTATCGTCCTATATAAATATTCTTGAAATCATAGAGAAATGTACACAATCGTTTATAATACATTTCTTCATTTCTCATTTGTTTACTAACTTATTTGTCAGGGTGTTTGCAAATATTATCTCCTCCATCAAAAAATGTAGACACTTGCTCGCACGTTATTAGAGTCATCTTCTTAATCTAGTCACGATCAATGGCGCCTAAGTAAGGGAATGCGATTTTTTTCTTTGAAAAAAAAGAAACTCAATCACTTTTTATCAATGGCTCGTAGACAGAAAACAACCAGAAACAATCATCCATCCGATGAAGCATCAACAACTCTCTCACCCAAATTGACATATCACAATCAAAACAATATTCCTATAATTATTGTTAGCAAGGAACCGACGATCCAAGAACTGATGATATTGGTGTCAAACCAACGTGTATGATTGATGATCACAACCTTTGTATTCAACTAATAGAGAACAAGCATATTGAATTGTTAAATTTTTATTCTTTTAAAGTTTATCGAAGATCTCCCAAATTCATTTTTCAATCCACATATTCCCTCTACCATAATTACATTATGTCTTCTCGAATTATCCAAAGTAGGAACCAAAAATCTGAGCTATCTCACTTTCATAAGTATCGTCAAAATAACCACCAATCATCATGTCTTCAATTTGTGGAAAACAACAGACCCCCTTGTAGAAGCATATGATTAAACCATAAACCCAAACAAATAAGTCGATAACATTGAAGGTGTTATCGATTATCAAGGAGCAAAAGACCCAATGAAACTAAGGTTATTCGCTTTAACACTCAAAGTTTTGGGTTTGGGTATGTTGTTCTTTTAATTAGGTTTTGGTAAGGCTGTGTGTGGGAAGTTTTGGTGGTGGAATGGTAAGTTAGATTTTAGTTTTACAATGGAGGATGCATAAGTGGTTAGGACTTTGAATATTTTTTAAGTCAGAGTTTTGTGAGTTATGGTATTGGAAAATGAACTTGGTAATGGTTTATGAAACTTGTGTTTAACATCTTTGATTTCGACCTTAATGATCTTAGCAAGACTATAGTCTTGGGAATTTGAAACACGTAATTGGATAGTCATTTTATTTCTAATATCAATGGATAAATAAAATATAAAACAATTAAGAATAGCATCAAGAGATAGAAAATATTGATTTTCTACATTACTTAATCGATTACCAATCTCCTTACTCGACTAGGAGGAGTACACTTTGATTCTAATTTATTAGAAGAACATTTTAATCTATTAGACATTGTATACTACCTTCCTAATCAATTTAAACAAGCTTCCAATCAATTAAGATCTTGCCCTAATTGTTTTTAAAAAGTTTTATCAAAAGAGAAGAGGCTTGAAAACACTGTTTGTGTGTGTATGTGCATTTCCTTAGTACCTCAAGACTTATTCTTGTTACTTTTACAAATTATTTATCAAAATTATGAAACCCCTAAGTGTGGGACTAAACGCGATTTCATACTTTCACAACTTTGAGTTCACAAATTCAATACATTTGTAAGTTCTACCGTTTTTGGATTGACAACATTTTGGTAAAACATACTGCCAGCAAGATGTTAAGCCAGATGTTTTGTCATGTCAGTCAGACATCATGTTTAGTATGATGTTGTGAAATGTGCCAAGACATGTTATACCAAAAAGTTAGGGCATGGTTGTTTTGGTATTTTTAGTGTGTTTCAATTCACACGTTTGCGTTATCTAAGGAGGGATATTGTGGGAACTCCTGTTTTGATAGATTGTGTTGGTTTAAGGATCCTTGAGCATTTTTAGGAAACTTTGTATTTTGTTCCTATTGTTGTGTAGGAGATTATGCTTATGATTTAAAGCTGATTTCTGGTGTTTTTGCACCTCAAAAGCCCAAGTGGACAGAAGGCTATTTAAAGAGAAGACCTAACCCTATTATAACTTGGATATTACGTGAAGTTTGAAGCATAAAGATTAGTCGTATCTTGGTAGGTCTTTAGGGTTTAGCGTGTTTTTGTTTGTATGTCACTCTTGTATTAGGTTTGATGCATTGAGTTGAGTGATTGTTCATTGTTAATTGTTTACTCTAAAGCTTTTAAGTAAGAGTGTATTGCTCTTAGTTGAAGCTTGTAAGCAAAAACTAAGTATTATAGTTGGAAGAGTGCTCTTCTTCTTTTTGGTTTCTTGAGCTATTGTCACTGGGATTGTAACTGATTAGGAAGTGAGAGGGATATCTCATATCTAGAGGGTATCTAGGTAGAAGTTGCACAAGGTAGTGATTAGGTAAGAAGTTGTAAACGGGGAAGTTTAACTTTTAACTAATATTATCATAGTGAATTTCCTTCTTGGCTTGGTAGCCCCCAGATGTAGGTGAGTTGTACTGAACTGAGTTAACAACTACTGGTGTTATTTTACTTTTCTGTCATTTAAGTTTCTGCATATTTGTTTGTGTGATCAAGTTGTTTTGATCCCAGTGTTGTGACTTCTGTCTCGACATATAGTATCTGTGTGCGAAAATTTTAATTGACATCAAGC